GCTTATGAGGGATGGAATGAAAATTAGGCCATGAGGTGAATCCAAAGACGCAAAAATGAGGCAAAACGGAGTGATGACGAAGGAGATACAAGTGTTTGAACATGCGTATTTGAATTTGAAAATTTTGCCTAAAGAGAGAAAAATCTTCTTCTTTTTTTTCTCCAACTTTTGGAGTTCCAACGGCACACAAAAAGAGGTGAAATAAGGCGTATGATGGATGGAATGAAAACTAGGCAATGAGATGAATCCAACGACACAAAAATAAGGTGAAACGGAATTTAGACGAGAGAGATATAAGTGTTTGAACATGTGTGCTTGAATCGAGAATTTTACCAAAATTCCGTTAGTTCAATCAAACAGATATAGACGAAGGGTTCACATTGAAATACGGAAGAAACTCCAGGATTTAATTTGTCAAAATTGAAACTATGGGGTTTAATTTGAAAAACACGTGAAATCCTGAGATTTTTTTTTTGTAATTTCTCCCCTAAATAATATATATATATATATAATTATTACCAAACCCCTCCTCAATTGGACTTGCTTGATTACTTGACTTAATTGGGCTTCAGTGCATTCAAAGTTTACATTATTGGGCATCGGTTACCTTTTAAGGCTACTAGTGCTTGATTTGGTTTATCTAAACTAACTTGTCCTAATAGTGCAAGCACGGCCCATCATCTTAATCTGAATTATGGAAAGGATTTTTTATCAACCGGTCTCAATAATTGTATGTATTACTCATTAGGTCTTAAGTGTCTATCTCATGCATCAGGAAGTCCTGTTGTATTTTTTTTGTCCCGATTTACCCCTGCTATTATGCTTCGCACATTTGGTTTGAATTATGTGGTTCTATTTATTTTTTTCTCTCTCTCTCTCTCTCTCCCCCCTGGCGCCAGAAGGATCTGGGCTTTGAAAAGGAAGGCAACAAAAGATTTGGGTATAGAGATCATAATCGGTATGAGAAGGTATTTCATGCACTGTTGTGTTGCAAGAGCCATTGATTGCGCCACTATAAGATTGGGCGGAGATGAAGGGGTCGCAGCGTCGACGGCGATGAGGAAGTGTGTGACGAAGACTCGACAATCGAACGGTTATTTGTTGGTGTTAGTAAACATGAGAGCTGCCTCTGTAGCCCTTGGGTTTGAGAGAGATAGTGTTAGATTTGAGAGAAACCAAGAAAATTGACGTGAACGGAGATGGGTGTGTCGACATTGACGAATTCGGAACTCTGTACCAGTTAATAATGGACGAACGAGACGAAAAAGAAGACATGAGAGATGCGTTCAGGGTGTTAGATCAAAACGATGGTGGATTCATCTAGATATTTTCAATGCCGATCAGAGCTCCTATCTTGTTTAAACCTGTGATAAATTTATCAGTAAATTTGTTGAATATGTTTATTTTTGTATAAAACTTGATAAACTAAACAGTGATAAATTTATCACTTGAAATGGTAATTTTCCTTTTATAATTTTTTTTTACAAACAGTCAGTGATAAATTTATCATTGAATCTAACATCGTCGTTGTCACTATCTTCCTCCATAAATTTATCATTTGTAATGGCAATGATTAAATTTTCCTTTTGCATATATTTTTTTTTTTACAAACAGTCAGTGATAAATTTATTACTGAATGTAGCTTTGATTCTTGTGTTAGTTTGTAATGGTGATTGCTTGATTTTCCTTTTGTAATCTTTTTTACAAACAAACAGTGATAAATTTATCACTGAATCTGATTTTTGATTATTTGTCTTGATTTGTGAATGTAAAAAATAATGAAAACTATTTTCTGCTAATGGCTTCTTGTTTCTTTTCTTCATTCTCTTCATCATTTTCTTTTGTTGGCACTAGATCTGAGGAGGAGGTGGTGGTAGTAGTGACGTACTGGAGACGAAAAATGGATAAAAAAGTATTGTCGGAGGTCAAAGGATAGTGGCAACAGTGGAGCTTGCCGGAGGTGATCATCAGAGGTCGTCAAAGGTTATCGTCAGCAATCGGAAATGATTGACAATGGCTAGAAGGGGCAATGATGAGTCATGGCAGTGACATGTGCACAAACATGTGAGTTATCAGGAGTAAAATGGGAAGGTGGGCTAAATTATTTTGGAATAAGATCTCATGGGTATTAAATCCGGTATCTGTAACTTCCGTTATGGAAATCCCAATCTGAATGTATAACCAAAAAAAAAAAGTCTCATCAGAGTTTGGTTTGGCACCAACTTTGAAGTCTTTTTAAATTTTTGGTCCCCTCCCCAATTTTATGAGCTATTAGTCTAAAAAAAAAATTAATTAAAAAATCAATAATACAAACACCCATTCTAAATAGCCAAAGCAAAAAATGTATTAAGGAAGAAAGAAGAGTTCATAATTAGGCAAGGAAATAATAATAAGTTTGGAATCCATTTAATTACTGTGATTATACTTATGAAACAAATGTGAGGAATAAGCTTAGAATTAACTGGCAAAGAAAATGTGAAATTATGAGGCACGGAAATTTATTGTATTTTGTCGTTAAATGTCAAATTTAAGGCAATGACAATTTATTTTGAAAGAGAAATAAGCATTTATTTTTAGTGGTTTTTTTTGTGGTCATTGTCTTGTATTGAGTTATTTTGTTTTATTTTTTATTTTTTATATAATATCAAAATCAAGTTTTGAAATTAATATTGACACAACGTGCCCCACTATCACCTGTCCATACGCGATAAAAAGCTAGCTTCAAAAAGGGATTGGTGACTAGGACTATTTAGAACATTTTATTATTGAGAATTGTTTGAGTGTGCAATCTCTGTGTAACTTGTGTAAAAAATGTGAAATTATGAGGCACGGAAATTTATTGTATTTTGTCGTTAAATGTCAAATTTAAGGCAATGACAATTTATTTTGAAAGAGAAATAAGCATTTATTTTTAGTGGTTTTTTTTGTGGTCATTGTCTTGTATTGAGTTATTTTGTTTTATTTTTTATATAATATCAAAATCAAGTTTTGAAATTAATATTGACACAACGTGCCCCAATATCACCTGTCCATACCCGATAAAAAGCTAGCTTCAAAAAGGGATTGGTGACTAGGACTATTTAGAACATTTTATTAATGAGAAATGTTTGAGTGTGCAATCTCTTAGTGTGACTTGTCTAATTTCTAACAAATATACGTAAGTTACTTAGTAAAATTATGTAATTTAAATATAAATTTATATAAGTTGACATATAAAAATTTGTCGCTTGAGTTAACTTAAAAAAGGTATTGTATGTTCTCATAAAGAATGTGTAACTTAAGTCAAAACAATACATAAGTAAATTACATATCATATACATTGCACATTCAAGAATTTTCCTTTTGGTGACATTGTGAAAGTCGATGTGTTCTACGTTTTGGGTTGAATTTTTTACAATTCTTTTTAAGTATAAATATACGGATCTCCAAAGTACAATGAAAAATTACATTTAACTCTTTTAACACCAACGTGTGACTAAGACAAACTTGTGTCATATAATATACCACCAACCCATAATCTAATGTTTCTTCTTTCCAATAATTCTATCAATTAGGGGTGTTCAGTAGATATATTGATCCGTCTAAATCGGCTGATCCAAACCGATCCAGTCTGCTACATTTTGGATGAATGTGTGATGACAAGCGGATAGAAGCGGACGGATATTGATCGGTTTTCTCCAATCTACTAGTTAGGTTCTCAGGCCACAACTGAATCGTGAACACCCCTAGTTTACAGCCATTGTTAACATAGAGATTTGTTGGATTATCATCCATGTTTGTAGTCATTATTAATAAAACAGATTGGATTGTTACAAAAAAAATAAATAAATAAATTATGTTAATAGATTTTATTATGTTGAAAATCTATAAAATGTAAGCCGTTATACCGATTTGCCGCAATCTACTTAATCCACATCCTCCAATCTGACGGACGTTTGCGGATTAATTTCTTCAATCTGTCTACTTTTGGACGGATGACGGATTAAAAATTTCCAGACCATAACCGAACCACGAGCACCCCTACTATCAATAGTCATAGTAAGAATGTTCACAAGTAATTTTTTTTTGTTACAGGAAAATTCTATTCTTCTTTCGCAGGTCTAAGGCAACACTTTTAGCAGAAATTACCAAGATGCCCTGTTGTTCATTTTGAGTTAGAGAATATAACTTGAGAACTTGCCTCGACCTCTCAAGATTAGTTTCGCTTAAATCAGGACTTGCGCAGCGGAGGAGTATTGAACTCACATCAAGTGTTGAGGTAACAATAATTTGATGCTAACCTCCTAACTAATTGCGCTATGACCAGAAAGTTGGCCTAAGAAATTTCAAACTTGAGACCTAATCTTTAACCTCCCGACCTTTATCAAGTGTGTTACAAGCCTTGGGTATTCACAAGTAAATTTAAGTGTTCAATTATGTGAAAATCTTGGTTCAATATCAATAAATAGTACAATTTACATGTAATTCTCGTTTGTAATTTTCTAACAAAGTAGGGACACTTTTGTGACGTGGTTAGGAAAAATTATCCGGTGCTCATGGAACGAACATCACATGTTTGTGCTTCTCACCGATCATCATATATTATATATTTTTATATTATTTAATCACTCAACATAAAATTATAGATCTCGTTTTATCCACTAATCAAAATATTTTTAGGACACCACGTGACCGTACCCCAAAACTATCAAGAATTGTTTTAAGTATCACTTAATTTTTAATTTTTTTTAATTATTATAAAAATATATATAAAAAATAATATGATAAAAATAAATCAATAAGTAAATAAATTACTTATTTGAAGTATTCATCCAAAAAAAACTTATTTGAAGTGTCCTTAAAAAAGGCACAAATACTTCTCTCCGTGGTGAGAGTTATACAGAGTAACCAGCCTAGCATAACGGTCAGTAATCAAATTCATCCCCACCTCAACCTTCTTAATCAATCAAATCCAAGGGGCCCAAATTTAACAGAAATTTAAATTAACAATCCAACGCCCTCAAATTAGGCCCATAAGAACTAGCCGTTACAAAGAGCGTCCAGAGCTCAACGTTCCTTTTCTTCCCTTCCCCATGTATTCCGCTTCTCTTCAATGCTTCAACAACAATTGACTCATCACAAAGATCCAACGTAACGCCTCTCTCTCTCTCCTCTCACTCTCTAACCCACTTTCCGGCGACTTACGATGGATTTGAGTGGCAAGAATGCCGGAGCAGTGACACCTGCGAAAAACCCACAACCCAATGGATCGAAGATTTCAGAAATCTCAAAAGATTCTGAGAATTCAAATCCCAATCTCACAAGCCCTAGTATGAAAGTTTCGAATTCACCAGCAATTAAATCTGCTTCAAAGACCCAGAAATCGGCCTCCAAAAACCCTAACCCAATCGTTTCACCGCCGCAGTATCGGAACAAGATTCGCGAAAGAAAGTTCGTGGTCGCGAAAAGGAACTCCAAGAAAGAGAGAGAAAACTCGTCCAATGTCTCATGTAAGTGCAAAGACAAGGCTGGTTATGCTTCTCACAAGTGCCTCTGTGTTGCTTATGAGAATCTCAGGGCTTCTCAGGAAGAGTTCTTCAAGAATCGGAACAGTATTATAGAGCATCAATATGATTCGGAGCAGTTGAAGAATAGAGAGAATGAGGAAGATAATAGATCTGTGATTGAAACCCTAGAAATTGAAAATAGGTATGAATTGAAAACAGAGGAAATTGAAGCGAATGGTAGTGATGATGACCCAGATGAGATCGAGCAATCGGGCGAAATGGGTAGTTCGAATATCAAGAGAAGGAGAGACAAATTGTTGGAAGAAGCAAGAGAGAGTGTGCCTGAACCTGGGTCTGGAAGAGTGATGCATTTGGTCAAGGCCTTTGAGAAGCTTCTTACGATACCGAAGGAGTCAGATCAGACAGATGAGAAACAATCAGAAGATGTTGGTGATGATGATGATGATAAGAAGGGGATGAAATGGGCCTTGCCAGGACTGCAACAACCTAAGGTGCCCGAAACACAGGTCTCTTCTTCTTCGTTCTGTCCATCGGATTTTTTCGTGACATCAGAGAGTTTAGGTTTGGATTCGCGTGTTTCGTCTTCATTAGATAGCAGCCATGGAAGGTTGGTTACAATAATTTGATTGATTTTTATTCTCTTGTTCCTTCTTTCAATCGTTTGAATTTGGATCCTAATTGGGTTTGCTTTGAATTATTTTCTTGCTTCACTATTTCAAACAGGACTTCTGGTGGTGGTCACAGAAGCCGACGAAATGTAAGCATTTTTTTTTTTTTCTAATTCTAAAATGAAAAATGAACCTGTGTGTGTTTTTTTTTTAATATTCATTTTTTTCAATGTAGAGTTCTGAATCATCTGGGACCTTTGGTGGAAGTCGTTGGAAGAAGCAGCAGCTCAAAGCAACCCACCAAAAACCCTTCAAGCTTCGAACAGAGGTGTGTGTTTATGGTTTTGTGAAATTGACTTTTGCTTTTAAATTCTTTTGTCTTTGCCTCAATTTACTTGAAATCATGTTAATTTTGGTGATGGATTTTTATTGCAGCAAAGGGGAAGATACAAGGAGGAAGAATTCGTCAAGAAATTACAGCAAATGATGATGGAGGAGGAAAAACAACGGATACCAATTGCACAAGGTCTCCCATGGACAACAGATGAGCCAGAGGTAATTCCATTTAATTTAAGAAGAAAAAAATGGAAGTTTCGCTTTGTTGTACAAATGTTTCTATCTCTAATTTCATATGTAATATTTTGTTGAAATGTGTAGCATGAATATATGATTTTTGTTGGTTATGCTATCCAAAATCCATATCGAACAAATTTTAGACTTTGTGTCATCTTTCCAAATGAAATCAAAACAACATAAATCACTGAGGTTAAGATTGAAAAACTACAGAAAAAAGCAACTCATTTCAAATGCTATCGACTTCCAAAAAAAATGAAATATTATTGGGAATGTTCAAATGGCAACTTACTGGATTTATATATATGTATATTCTTTTGGGGTGCAAAAATGCCAGGTTGAATTATTTTATGCCATGCTTTGCTAAATGCTTGTAATCGGCAGTTTAAGTAATAAGCCTAATATGCATGTCTGGACTCTCCCAAGTTCATTTAAATTGATGTGGTCGTTGATGGTATTACAGTGCTTAGTAAAACCTGCCGTCAAAGAAATCACAAGGCCGGTTGATTTGGTGCTGCATAGCGATGTGAGGGCTGTGGAGCGTGCTGAATTTGACCAACAGGTGCATTTTTAACTTTCTTTAAATATTTTTACACAGGGTTTTCATGTATTAATCAGTTGTTTTGGACATATAGAGTAGGCTTTGTGTCATTACTAAAGTCTTTACCATTCACTGAGTCTACAAGATTCCACGTTCTCGTATTACATGGCAATAATGAAATGCCCTTTATTGAATTACCTTTTAATTTTGCTTCTGTGATTGCATGCATATTAGGTGGCTGAGAAGATGAGCCTTATTGAACAGTACAGGGAGGAAAGGGAAAGACAGCAAAAGGTACATGACAGAAAAAACCTTATGGGTGTGTTTTGGTGATATTAGTCTTGGTAGTTTACTGATATATGTGTGAATGTTGGATTTTGCTCCTGTAGTTAGCAGAAGAAGAGGAAATCAGGAGACTACGAAAGGAGCTCATTCCAAGAGCTCAACCTATGCCCTATTTCGACAGGCCTTTCATCCCGAGAAGGTACCAGATAAAATCCAGAATTTTCTTTAGCTAGACATGGCTTTTCCATTTGAATATGAATAACCAAAAAACCTACTGAATAGAGAAATTATTTAGTAGGTTTGGCCTATAGGACACATGGTGTGTCTTTTCAATATTAGAAAAACATATGATCCTTCTATTTTCTATACAAGAAGATCATGTCTATTTTGGTGGGCGGCGTGGTAAGCTGAACCTGCCAGATAACTTCTCCTACCAAAGACTTCAAACAGACCCTCTCCTTCAAATGATTTTTAAAAAGCCATATGTAGTTTGTATACTTTGCTTTCTTTCTTCTATTTTTATATACATTTTTCCCCTCTCCTTCAACTTACTGTAGTTGCACAACTTTTCCACCATATTTTATTGATTAGGTGTTGTCTGGATCTCCAAACAAGTTTTCTATGTGTCATTTGACTGGCACAAGTGATGTAAACATAACAATGTCCCTTGTTTGTTTCGGGTTATTTTCAGGTCGATGAAGCATTGCACCATACCCAGAGAGCCAAAGTTCCATTTACCACCACAACACAAGAAGATCAAGTGTGGCATGTGTTGGGATGATATGTTCACACACCAACAATGAAATGCAGAGAAGGAAGACAAAATTAAAAAATTTCGTAATTTTTTTGTTGTCAATTGCCAATAATGTTGAACTTTTTTTTCTTCTTTATATGGTCTCCAATATTACTTGTGTATATGAAAGCAATCAATTTAATTGCAATTTTGTCTATTTCAATGAAACAAGTGATGGTAATGTTGTATGCACAATGGTGTGCTATTTCAATGAATATTAATAATCATTCATTTCTCTAGTGTTGTTATTTACCTTGTTTTCTTTTTTCAATCTTTGAAGCACAAGTCATGTATGCATTTTTGTTTGAAGTTTTGCTCTTGCCCTTTGTTTGTTTGAGCATTTTTTAGATACGTGTTGGTTAATCACATAGAAATCCAAACAAAGCCTATATATTTAATTAGGACAACCTCAAAATACACATAATCAATTTAATTGCAATTTTGTCTATTTCAATGAAACAAGTGATGGTAATGTTGTATGCACAATGGTGTGCTATTTCAATGAATATTATCTCATAAAATCATTCATTTCTCTAGTGTTGTTATTTACCTTGTTTTCTTTTTTCAATCTTTGAAGCACAAGTCATGTATGCATTTTTGTTTGAAGTTTTGCTCTTACCCTTTGTTTGAGCATTTTTTAGATACGTGTTGGTTAAACTAATCACATAGAAATCCAAACAAAGCCTATATATTTAATTAGGACAACCTCAAAATACACATTTTGTTGACTTCTAGAGTGTACGACAGGGTAAACTTGGGTAGTTAGGACTCAGGACAGGAATAATGAAGTTTAGTTCACACCACCTAAAAAAAAAAAAAAAAACTTCACAAGACTTGACTTTTTAGAGAAAATGAAGCAAACTTCACAAGACTTTTTAGAGAAAATCAAGCTTTTGTGCTTTCACCATGTAAATACACATTTGGTGACAAAATCTCAAATGTATCAAAATGACTTTCATCAAGCATTCCCTTTACAAAACTTATTTAAAAAGACAATAATTGTGAAGGGAAAAAAACACAGGATACAATTTGACTCATTGGGATGGTTTGTGTTTTTAGGATAGTATTGAAAATGTCACAAGATACAAGTATAGTATTGAAAAATAAAAAAAGGAATTTGGTGATAGATCCCTCACTGTCTAATTTGTCTTTCAAAATGACAAGAATTATATAAGTACTTTCAAAACCCCCAAATATTTTAAAACTTATTTCTTTTACTATATTACCCTCATATCTCTCTTAAGTCATCCTCATAGTGTATCCAAAGTAAAATTTACTATGATTGAAAATAAAATTTTACTCTGATTAAAAACATATTGATTTAAAGTTTACTATAATTCAAAATAAAATTTTATGTTAAGCAAATCAACATGTTTTTAACCAGAGTAAAATTTTACTGTTACAAAAAATAAAATACATACTAAATGAATGAATCATAGTCAAATTTTACTCTACATCAACATTTATCTGTTGAAATTATATAGATCATAATCTAAGTTTTCTCTCTCTGTTTCTCTTTCCAACAACATTTATATGTTCTAGTCAACAACAACAAATAAAAAAAATTAGATTAACAACCAGCCAAATTTAAAAAATAAAAATAAAAAAAAAAATCGATGAATACCAAAGTTCAATCTTCTACAAAATCATCCATGTTTGCAACCTCAACACCATCTTTTTTTCTTTGTGTGTTATATGTTTGTATCAAGAAAGAGAAGATGCTACCTACCAAGAGAGACTTCCGACTAAACAAGGTATTTCCTTCTCTTCACCAACTCCGAAAACCACACCAACAGCTTGAGTCACTGTAATAACGTCGACGGCATGCAACTCGAGTTCTTCGAGATCTCAAGCCATTCAAACTCCATCGTTGCCTCCTGAAGTACCGCGACGGTGAAGCAACAGATCAATATTCAGATTGAACGCTGGAAACTCATATCGATATTCTCATGCTTCGATCGAAGCCACTGGTGGACTTGGATCTGTGGCAGCGGGAGTTTTCATTGACTACGAAGTAGATGCCGTGGAAGGCAGAGGCAACGGAGGAGATTAAGAGATTGAAATGGTGATTAGGGAAGATTTAGTTAAGGTTATAATAGTCTGATAAAATATTTAAATAATAAATTTTGTCCTTTATATAATATTTTATAATTATACGAGGGTTTTAAAAATATAATTTTTTTCTTAGTCCTTTTAACAATAAAAGGAAGATAACAGGGGTTTATAGCCAAATTTCCTAATAAAAAATAATAATTCAACACTTGGCAACTAGTAATTTACGGTAGAATATCTTTCTATTAGTTTCACAAGTTAAAGAACCTTTCTGTTAGTTTCACATGCTAAAGAACAGCGGTCAATGCCACCCCAACTTTCACCAAAATCAAAACCTCAGACCTCTCATAACTGGCTGTGGTAGCCATTTTGTGTATGCAAATAACTTAATTTAACTTGGAATTGATAATTCTGATCTTCTAACTAGATCAGTGGAATTTAGAGCATACAAAGATAATTACAATGAGCATCCAAAAATAAACCATGAATCTGCATTTCTTAGCCAATTTCAACCAAGATTCCAAGCCTCAAATGAAACTTATAAGGTGACAAACAAAAATTTTCCAATACATATTACTTGTGCGGGGCTTTTAGGTCTCAAGTAACCGACATCGCGCACCATGGCATAGCAATACACTTGGAACTCAAAAAAATCAATGGCCAAAGAAAACAAAATGGAAACATGTTCATAAACACTCAGCAGTTGGGACCAAAAAATTGTTCTGAAAAAAAAAAATGTAGCAACTTCTTTTCAACCAACTAAAATTAAAACCTAGAGACTTATCAAAATGATCAGTAGCAGAGCTCATTGATTCATTTGATCAAGGGGCAACTACAATCCACCCAGCAACTTGGTCAAGATCTTGTTGGCCATTGGATGTGATTCTTCTCCCACTGATACAACCAAACCACAAAAATAAAATAAAATAAAATAAAAATAATAAATTAGCGAACTAATTGACAACCTAGCAATAAGAAATATGCTTAAAGAAAATCATGCATTACATATTGCTTGTAACTGATTCACATCTAGGTCCAACAAAGATAAAGCATCGTTTTAATAATCGCCAAACCGGATATTAAATATAGCACATAATCATGAAATAAATGAGTTAATAAATAAAATAATTCCAAAAGTAAATCATTAGCTTACCCCTTCACATCAATATCAATAATGTTCATCTTTTGCAATTGCTAAAGAATCTGACGCGCAACAGCCCCACTGCTTTTGTAGAAATGAGGTGGACGACTTCCATTCCTTTTTACTTCCACCATAAATCCTCTAGAAGGCACCAACACCAAGACCACTACAAGAAATTGCACTTTTAGTGACTAAATTTTTAGTCGCCAAAATATTTTCTGACTAAATGTTTTGTCGCTAGATTTGTCGTGGGAAGATTGTCAGGGAAGGTATTGGCGACTAAAAACTATTTAGTCGCCAAAAGTCCTATAAATGGCAACTAATGTTTTAGTAGGCAAAAGTAAAAAGTATTGGCGACAAAATAACCTTTAGTTGCTGATGACGCTAAATTGGCGACTAATCTGTTAGTCGCCCAAAGCTACTAATTTAATTTAAATTACATTTTCAGTTACTAAAATTTTTGGCCGCCAAAACTTCAAGTATCTAGGGCGACCAAAGTTTTAGTCGCCAATAGTTTTTCTTGTGCATCTACATTGTTTTAGCTACTAAATGTTTGGTTGCCTAAAGTTCGATATATTGTTTAGCTACTACACAGGTTAATCGGCTAAAGTCTAAATTTTTTTAGCTACCAAAGGTTTTGTCGCCTATAATATAATTGCTATCTTTTGGTGACTATATATATTTCAATTATATATAATAATGTCATAGACAACATACCAAAACAATGTCTTCCGTACATAAAAATATTTTTACTACTATGCATTGTAATGACCATTTGGCATGGTACAAATTACCATGGTAATATGTACCACGACAAAAAGTAATCTATATACCACGGCAATAAATATAAGTTCCATGTCAAAAGTATTATGTACTCCGCCAAAAATTATATGTATGATTCATCCAAATTCCACACAAAGCAAAGGATGAAAAAAAGTGGGAATGTTCAAATTTGTAAATTATCCTCCATACACAAAAATAGAAGATCCACATATCAATACCAAAAACCATCTACAAAAGAAAAATTACACCCATTAGTTCCATATAGCATTTGAACATAAGACCACGCAAAAAAAAGTTAATAGATCCGTAAAGGGATTTTTTTCGTTTCTTATTTTTATTTTTTGGCTGAGGTGGTTTCATCCGTCAATCATAATATTTTAAAAATGAAATTAACATTATTAAAATGTTAGGAACCAAAACAACGCAAAGTGCATAGGATTAAAAGTCCATTGGCATCTAAAAAATTACAATCAATGTAAGGTTGTGCAACATATATATTCAACAGTTATGAGGAAAAATGTAGCCCCTAAAAAATGACAATTAATTTAAGGTTGTGCAGCATATTCAGCAATGCTGAGAAAACATGTAGCCCCTAAAAAATGACAATCAATGTAAGGTTGTGCAACATATTCAGCCCTGAAAGACTTTTTTCGGCTAAGTTTATGGCGTTTTTCACGCCAACTCCCAACCTACGTGTGCTAATTACATCCCGTCTGTCCCTACAGGTCCTATTTGTCACGAGGAAGCTACTCGTGGCATCCATAGAGTGGTTCGGGGGCTGCTTTAAATTTTCGGCCACAAAAGGCCTTTTTGGATTAAGTTCATGGCGTTTTTCATGCCAACTCCCAACCTACGTGTGCTAATTACATCCCGTCTGTCCCCATAGGTCCTATATGACACGAGGAAGCTACCCGTGGCATCCATAGAGTGGTTCGGGGGCTGCTTTGAATTTTTGGCCTCGAAAGGCCTTTTTCGGCTAATTTTATGTTGTTTTTCACGCCAACTCCCAACCTACGTGTGCTAATTACATCCCATCTGTTCCCACAAGTCCTATTTAACACGAGGAAGCTACCAGTGGCATCCATAGAGTGGTTCGGGGGCTGCTTTGAATTTTCAGCCCCAAAAGGCCTTTTTCGGCTAAGTTTATGGCGTTTTCCATGCCAACTCCCAACCTACGTGTGCTAATTACATCCCGTCTGTCCCTATAAGTCCTATTTGACACGAGGAAGCTACCCATGGTATCCATAGAGTGGTTCGGGGGCTGCTTTGAATTTTTGGCCCCGAAAGGCCTTTTTCGGCTAAGTTAGTCATTTTTCACGCCAACTCCCAACCTACGTGTGCTAATTACATCCCATCTGTCCCTACAGGTCCTATTTGTCACGAGGAAGCTACCCATGGCATCCATAGAGTGGTTCGGGGGTGCTTTGAATTTTTGGCCCCGAAAGGCCTTTTTCGGCTAAGTTTATGGCGTTTTTTATGCCAACTCCCAACCTGCGTGTGCTAATTACATCCTATCTGTCCCCACAGGTCCTATTTGACCCGAGGAAGCTACCCGTGGCATCCATAGAGTGGTTCGGGGGCTGCTTTGAATTTTCGGCCCCGAAAGGCCTTTTTTGACTAAGTTTATGTCGTTTTTCACGCCAACTCTCAACCTACATGTGCTAATTACATCTTGTTTGTCCCCACAGATCCTATTTGTCACGAGGAAGCTACCCGTGGCATCCATAGAGTGGTTCGGGGGCTACTTTGAATTTTCGGCCCCGAAAGGCCTTTTTCGGCTAAGACTACCCATCTCTTCACCAACCTCATCATTGACCTAAGACTATCACACTCCCATAAATTTACTTAATTCTACATCTAGAATCTAACTTGAGACTGGTTTGATCACTACATCTATAACGGTTGAAATGATCAATTAAGTAAAATTACATGACATGCGGATCACATGCATATTTTTCCTGTACATGCAATGCTGCACCATTGATAAAAGCGTTGAAACAAAGTCCAAACAGAGTTTTAGAAGCTAGAAAGTGTCATTTCATCAACTCTAAGCACTAGAAATGCAAATAGGCTCGAACCTTGACGGCCAAAGTAATTTGTCCACAAATTTTTTTAGTAATTTCCAAATAATGTTTGACAACCAAGAGTAGAGTCACAAATTGCAACATTTTCCAAATGCAAAAGGTAAGATAGGACATGGGCACATCTCAGATCTCATGTGTATCACATTGAAATATTGAGTACAAAAACCAAATTTGTGAGGTCTGCTTTTATAAAAACAAGGAGAAATTGGAAAGAGAAACAACAAAATGGAAGAGTTTACAATTGTTTTGACCAGTTCACAAATTGGTCAGACTAATATGACAAAAACACTTGGGCCTACCTTGTATTGCTCTTGAAGACTACTTTTTGTTGTTGAAAATCAATACCAAAATAAAAATAGCACAGGAAATGAAATGGAAGAGTGCTTTTTACAATTATTTTTGAAATTTTCCTGCAAAATGGACTCTTTTGGGAAACATAAAAAACAATCATTTTGCATTATATTTCATTGTCTTCATTTTCAAACCTTCAAAAACTTCAAATGAAAAGGTTTCTTAAAACAGTTAAAGATGGGCCCCAAATTACATTGTAATCTTCTAAAAAGAAGTCTATTGTTTGAGTGTAAGAAGTTCAGTCTTGAACAACAGTAGTGACAATGCAAACTTCCTTACTAGAATTGTTGAGCATACTGAGTGAGAACTGAATGATCAACCTGGAGGAACGCAACCAATACAATGAACAAGGGAATACCTGACCCACTAATGACAGGCTGCTCATGATCTTTCTCTATAGGCATAGTGAACCAGGCATACTACTTCCCAACCTTCTGTCAACCTTGATTCTCTTATGAGTTTTTGCTAATTCCCATTCCTTATTTTTCTAAGAAGCCCTCCATAGGACAACCCACATGTACTCGCTTTCTAGGTAGCATTTGTTATTTATCGTTTTTCTTGGTAAACTATAACTACAATCTAATTAAGTAGTTTATCATTGAATTGCAATCCTCCCCGTACCCATAAATCTCTAAACCATAACCCTCTTAAGGGTTTTGAATTCTACCTCTTCTCCAAACTGGAGAAATAGGAGACATATCAAACATTGAAGCAGAAGTATTTCAATTAGTTTATTTGAATTGGAAAGGTATGCTACTTACAGATGGATACAAGCGGCTATGGAATACAAGCAATTTAGCCCCAAAGTGATGAGCAAGTGCCTTTGATAACTTCTCCTGATATATCTCAGAACCTGTAAAATGTTTGCAAAGAACTTTATACACTGTAGTAGTAAATTTTGATTGAGGGTGATCGTAAAATGTTCTAGGACAAGGAGATGGCTTTGTTCACCTGCAGGACCAGACAGCAAAATTCTTTGGCTTACAGCGGAATCCTTGGACTCACTATGCTTTATGTGTAGAACAAGGGATGGTAGCAGATAATATTTTGTCCTGTCACTGAAAGAAATGGAAAATTGAAATTTCCATTACTAGCCTGCAATAAAGTATTAAAACCCATGGAAAACCATAGCAGCCCTTATAAATGAGACTAACATAGTCAAGTAAATGAGCTTAAATTAGAACTGCAAAGTACAATTGTCAATCAAACTGTTGCATAGGCAGAAAAGGGAGCAGGTAATCGTAACTGGAGAACATTTACGTTAACAAGTTCTGAAAGATGAACAGGTACATTCAGGCATCTCAACATTCCAAGAAAGTTTACCTATAGTCCCACATAGTGAAACCACTACATAGATCAAATGACTGAAGTAACTTAACATCTAAAAATAGCTTTCTCAAGGAGCAACAGCAATGGGAAAAAATCAGGAAAACATATTCAGGTCAAGAAGTTAAGATTTAAAGCATATATGTATTCTATTCTCTCACAGATTTTGGTATTCCTTTTAATGCTGTTATTCCAGGAAAGAAGAAACAGTAAAAGATAAAAATTTCACAATTGCTATTAACAATAATATTTAAAAATACTTTTTCATCAGATATGCCCATAACTAACTAATAACTCAAGTCAGCTTTGGAAAGACAATATGCGAGATTTCAATTTGTGATTGTCGTGAACCTGATGCTTAGGTGCATTTAATAATTTTTCTTTCACGTGGTATGCATTGTGTATCTCTCAGGGTTAAAGATCCTCTGTGCCAAATCTCTCTATCCTCCCACTTTAATGCAATCATGATCGTTAGATCACATAAAAATCTTAAAACATGTGAATATTAAGATATGATTCTATGATTCGATAATTAAGAATACATTGCGATCTAGGGATAGAGAATCACAAAGTTAGCCCTGTTAAGTTTGAATATGTGGTCCTAATTATTTTGGAATTTTCCAGTTTGAGATTTCAGCAATATCAGGTTGTTGAATATAGAATAGTTTGGGTTCCACAATTCACATGGCCATGCTTTGAGAAGCATTAGTGAGCACATTTTCTGGTGTGTTTGCATTTTGAATTTATGAAGAGATTGAGGTTAAAATATTGATCTCAACATATACTTTAAAACTTAAACATTTCCTATAGGCTTACAAGGAACTCATTCCAATTGAAACACTTAAGAAAACAAAATAAAATATTTATTGAAACATGGTTCTAGTCAAAAGAAGAAACACCCTAAATAAATCACAAAAGAAAAGAAGTTGCAAATGTAACGGACCCAAAAACAAGAACGACATATTTGAAAGTGTCCATGAGGGTGGGTAAAAAAGACTAACTTAAAATTTTGAAATTTCTTGTACTAAAATGGCCCTTGTTTCTAACCTTGGCCTTTATCAAATTATCAAGTGTCATTTCAACTACTTATCTAATTCACTTAGCTCAATTTATTTTTTTGATAAATTTTTTAAGTCCTGTTATTTACATTGCGAATGTTGTAGGATACAACATCAAATATTTTTGTAACATCCTGTGTGTTGCACTTTATATTGTGAAGATTGCACAGTTCAAACCAGGATGCAGAGCTCTTCTCATCTCTTCTTCTTCACTTAGCTCAATTTATTGAACCATGATACTTCAGGTAAATTCAATATTTAGTTAAATACCTTAATAAACTTAACCAATATCTTATTTGTAATTAAGTGCTAATTTTATTTATTATGCAATTGTGGGCCCCCTTCTCCCTAAAGTCCATTTGATGTTATGGACTATAAATAAAAACATTATTTGAAATGAGTTTGGTTGATTTTTAAATAGATATAATTAGTTTTGCACACGATTGATGCATAAAAAATCACTTGATAAATGTCTCTACTTATATATGTATATTGATGCTTTTATAGGACTCTTGCTCTCAAGATACTTTTACAAATGGGCGCTGAAACTCCCACTTAACTAATTCATCACTTGATGTTTAGATCTGCTTGTTCTTTGATTTAGTAGTCTAAGTGACTGGTTAGCAGTGGTTGAGTTTAATACCATCACTAGTTACACCAGGGTCAACTCAAACTGTAAAAATAAGAACGGACATTCAAACAACAAAACCCTCATCCACTTCTAAGCTATAATATTGGGGTTTCAAGTGCTCAGCAGAAATAGATTTTCTATACTACCAAAGAGATAATTCAATATTCAATCTAGGAACCCAAGGTAACTCCTATGCAGCATTTAGGCAGAGCACAAGGAGAATTGCAGAGAAAAAATTCGTGCTAACTACAATTAACATAAAAGAATGATTTAAGTATTCAATGTTTGAACGTACCAAGAGTGTAAAAGTTAAACCAACAACGAAGCATATGGCAAACCCTTGAAGCCTCTATTAACATGTGCGAGTGAGAAAGAAATCAATTAATCAAAACCCATCAAGGATCTTAGAGTGAAATCTGTCGTAACAGTATAAACAAAGTATAACTATCTTAAGTGAAACTTATAATGCAACACAAGCACAACAGTTTAACAAACAATGAAAACTAAATGCAGTTCCAACTCATTGCTAGCTGAAGCTGAGCCTGGAACCCAATTTCCATGCAATTATTCAACCAATTGAGCTATACTATGGCACTGGCACATAAATATTCATTTTCAAGTTGAGTGAAAAACTTCAAGCAACAACATTACATAAAGAGTTACAAATTTTTATATCTTTTACATGACTAATGACAATAGTCCTTCGAAACCACTTGTATCCCCAGCATACAACAACAATAATTTTTTCCCCTGTATTAAAACTGCAGATTTAGCCCCTTCAAATGACTCATCGAACATGCAACATTTTCTACATCCTACTACTAATAAACCAATAAAGTTTCAGTTTCCCTCTCCCTCTCTTTAATACCTCATTCTTCAAATGAATCTACCAAATTAGAGAGAGATAGAAACAGAGTCTTCATTTGACTGGCAAGGCAGTGGACATGGAAGAAGTCATTGAAACTGTAAGAGAGTGAGAGAGAGAGTGTGTGTAGTCACAACATCATACCCACAAAAAAACCCAATAAACCCATAAAACTAAAATCCATAATTTCAATTCAAACACAATAAACCCATAATTTCATAAGAACGAAATCAAACCCACAAAACTAAAATCAAACCCATTTTGGACATGAAAATTTAATTAATTTCGTACAAATCAAACACTTCAACCAAGCCCATTTACGAAATCAACACAAAAATTAACCCTAGATGAAGTGTGAGAGATGGGGAAATACGGGAAGAAAGGGAGAGAGAGAGAAATAGAGAGATGGCTCGAGAGGGAGAAGACCAAGAGCGATAGAGAGAGAGAGAAACAAAAAACCTGTGATTTGCAGCAGTAGCGGTCGTGATTTCCAGCGGTGGCGGTGGCGGTGGCGGTGGCGGTGGCGGTGGCAACTTGCGACAGTGGGGAGCGACGGTGGCCAGCGACGTGCGACGGTGGAGCTGGCGTCAGGTTTGGTGATGAGTGGTCTGTGTTTGTGAGTGGTCTGTGTGTGTTTGAAAAAACCCACAAAACTAAAATCAAACCCATTTTGGACATGAAAATTTAATTAATTTCGTACAAATCAAACACTTCAACCAAGCCCATTTACGAAATCAACACAAAAATTAACCCTAGATGAAGTGTGAGAGATGGGGAAATACGGGAAGAGAGAGAGAGAGAAATAAAGAGATGGCTCGAGAGGAACAAGACCCAGATTGACAGAGGGAGAAGACCGACAGCGACAGAGAGAGAGAGAGAGAGAAACAAAAAACCTGTGATTTGCAGCAGTAGCGGTCGTGATTTCCAGCGGTGGCGGTGGCGGTGGCGGTGGCGACTTGCGACAGTGGGGAGCGACGGTGGCCAGCGACGTGCGACGGTGGAGCTGGCGTCAGGTTTGGTGATGAGTGGTCTGTGTTTGTGAGTGGTCTGTGTGTGTTTGAAACAAAGGGGAGGGCGCCAATATTTACGCTTCCCTCCAAAACAAATTTCTTGCCTTTAGTGACTAAATATTTCTTTTGTCGGCAAAAACTAATTAATCAACGACTAAATTTTTTAGTCAGCAAAGAGTTCCCGAAAAAATAACCCTCTTTTTAGCGGCGAAAATTTTTTGGTCCGCAAAAGGCAGCGTACGCCGACTAAAAACAGAATTAGTAGCCTAAAATTTTGACAAACGCCGACAAAAAAATTTTTAGTTGCCAATAACTATTATATGGCTACTAAAATACTTTTTGGTCGCCTATTTTGAATGTTTTTAGTGACTAAATTTTGTTTGTCGCCAATAGCTATTATATGGCTACTAAAAAATTTTAGTAGCTAAAATTCACAACATTGCCAACCAATAGGGAAAATTAGTCGCCAAATGTCTAACTTTTGGCGACGAAAAATGTTTTAGTTGCCAAATTTGGTTGGCAAAGGTGCATTTTGTTGTAGTGGACCCTGCCTCAGGTATATCTTCCTTGACATGGAAGCCACCACAAAATTTGGATAATAAACAACCAGGAACCATCTAAGTCACAATACATGACCAACAAATTTCAAATCATTCAAGCAAAACCAACATAATTGTGAACAAGCATATGCTCACCGACACACTAACTCACCCATCGAGAAATCTTACCAGCTTGGATATAATACCAATCTAGATCATAAGGGGCAAGCTCCTTGAACCTACCAGTCTTCACAATGTCAGTCCAGTGAGGTAGTTCCATCTGCTCAAAATCAATGAAAGAAAAGAAGAAGCAAAATTGTGATACCTATAGCACTACTGAAACCCAAATAGTATCACTTCAAAAAAATATCAATTTCATATCATAATGTTTCTTTAAGCAGAAAAATTACAATGGAAAAGCATGATTTTCAATATACGGTACATAATGTGTCCACCAAGAGAATCATTTTACTTTAAACATCTACTGATTATAAAAAGCATTCATCAACAACACAAACAATACATATAAACAGATATATACACAAACATTTATATTAACATTTAGTTTATCATTCCAATTTTCCCACAATTAGACTCCGCATTCACACATTTTTCATATAATTGGAATGCATAGCCATATCCCAAAATAAACGCAAGGTTTTAAGCAAGGAAACAAGCAGCACTAGCAAAAGAGGCTGTTCAAAGTCCAATACTAAATCCAACATAGCAATCCAAATAATATTACATGTGTATGATCAGTGTGCGAATACCAAGCAGAAGAAGATTGCAGCAAGATGGGTAAATTGAGTTGAGACTGTGAGAATATATACTGTATATATTGTACATTAGGAATTAGGCAATTTCCTTTTCTTTGTATTTCCTTTTTCTGTCATAGATTAGGGCTATATAATTGATGCACTCTTTGTAAACCAAAGACACAATTTAATATACAGAAATTCTTCAGAAACTTACATGGTATCAGCCGTTCTCTGATCCGAAACCTCAGAGCCGTCTCCATTGCCTTCTTGTTCGTGATTGTGCCTTGTCTCAGTCAACCCATCTGGATTTCTTCTCTGTTTGTGCTATTTGGTAGTCGCACCCATCCAACGGTTCGACCCATCTAGTCATCGGCTCGTCACAGCTCGTCCTCTCTCTCTGGCTCTCCTTCGTGGTCGACCCATCTAATTTCTAGCTCTGAAAACCCTAACAGAAGTCGCAATCGTTGTGCGACCTGAGATCACACATCTCTGTCTTCTTCATCGCGACTGTCGCGATCTAATTCTGGCCATCATCAGACTCGCGATTTTTGTTTCTGGTTCGCGATTGCTGCTGTACTCTGTCTCAGACAAGTCGCGAACCACCTCTGGCCCTCGTATTCGGGTTTGCTCTCTGATTCAGCTTTGGATCTGGTTCTCAGCTTTGGCGGTGTGCTTGCTAAGTATTCTTGGTTTGCTGGTTATTTCATTCTGACCCCGAGACTTTCTGGTATTTATAATCTGACCTTTCTGAGTTCTCACTGTGTCTGAAGACAAAAGTTTGTCGTCTAATTGGTTCCAATTATATTTATTGGGTTAGTGTTATGAAAATTTTTCTCGTCGGCCGTAAAAAGTGGGGTTATGTTTCTAGTTCAATCCCTTGTCCATCTGAATCAAGAAAGAGGGATATGAGGCAAGATTCTGATAATACCCAGATTCTGATTTGGTTCCACAATTCTGTGAAAGATTGCATTGGCATAATGTTCTCTAAGGGGTCGTTTGGGAAAGGCTTCCGGGCTAAATTAACCACTAAATGCCAAAAGAGGCTAATTTAGCCAATAAAGGACAAAAGAGTCACAGTTGGTTGGCAACAATAAACGGTCAGGAGAATTTACGAAACTACCCCTCATAAAAAGGGACATGCGGCAGCACAAACAAAAAATAAAATAAAAAAAAATCCCAAAAAACACATTTTTCCAGAACAAACAAAGTTGAAAAAAAAAATTAAAAATATTTTTTTTTGTTTTTTGTTAAAATATTTTATAAAAATAAATTCAAACTCTATTTTATAAAAATAGTTTTAAATATTTCAATTTTTTGGTTATGTATTTGGTTATGATTTGCGTGTAGAGTTGTGAAAGTACTGTGGAGTTTCAAGTTATGTGTTTAGTTATGAGTTTTAAAAATAATTTATCACTTAAGTTTTATTTTATGTGTTTGGTTATGATTTGAGTGTAAAGTTATTTTTAAATTTAAAATATTAACATTTTAAATTATTTAAATTTTTTGAATATTTAAATTATTTAAATTTTGTTGTTAAAATAATTTTTTTTTTATTTTGATATGTGTTTGATACGGCTCATTGAATTTTTTTTTTAAAAAAGAAAACATGAAAACATAAATTACCATTCGCCACGTAATTAAATAAGGCAATAAATATAAAAATAAATAAGGCAAAAAATAAATAATTAATGTATAAAACAATAAATAAAAATAAATATGGCAAAAAAATAAATAAATAAGGCAAAAATTAAATATTACGATTTAAATTTCAAATATTACGATTTTTTTTAAAAAATATTATGATTTAAATTTTAAAATATTACGATTTAAATTTTTTTAATTTTAAAATTTTTTATAAAAAAAATTCAAACTCTATTTTATACAAATATTTTTTAAATATTTTAATTTTTTGTTATGTATTTGTTATGATTTGAGTGTAGAGTTGTGAAAGTAAGTATGGAGTTTCGAATTATGTGTTTGGTTATGAGTTTTAAAAATAATTTCTTAAAATACACAGGACAATAAAATAAAACCTCACTTTTTATTATTTTACAGAAAATGAAAACAAATTGAAATTAAAAATAGAATAAAAATAAAAACCACATGAAAAACTATTTGTAAAAAAAAAAACTTAGCCTGGGTTGGTGACGTCACTGTCAGGACAGCCGCCCAAATAAAAACAAAATTTAATACTAGGGGCAGTTTAGTAATATTACATATGGACACCTCACCAAAAAGCCCTTCCCAAACCAGACTTTTTAGCCCAGGCTAAAATAGCCAAAAAAGCCAAAAAGCCAACCCACTTCCCAAACGAAGGCTAAATATTCCACGGCAAAGGAGGTGTGGACGTATTTACTCAGTGTCTATCAGCAGTCCAACTTTTCCAAATGCTATGAGTTGGAGTCCGCTATTTAGAATGCTCGTCAATGGGATAAATCTATTCAGGATTTTTATGTTGAGATGACGGGTCTCTAAGATCAACTTGCTCTTATGGAACCTTCTCGTCTTACAGCCCTCGATGCTTATGTGCCTTTTAGGGAGAAGGGTCGTTTGGTGCAATTCTTAACGGCTCTCCCTCCTCAGTACGAGGCTATCCGTGGTGGCATCCTTCACCGTTCTCCTCTCCGTTCTGTGGATGCTATTGTTTGTGAGCTTCTTTCCGAAGAAACTCGTCTCAAGACGGTCAGTCAGACCGTGTCTTCTTCAGTCTTCTTAGCACAGCCACCCCTATTGGCGACTCTATCTGCTTCTCAGCCTCAGTCTTCTGCCAAGCCAAAAAAGGGGCCCTTAGTATCAGATGAGTGTGCTTTCTGCCATCAAAAAGATCATTGGAAGTACAACTGTCCCAAGAAGAGCCGTCAGTCTGCTCAGCCGTCTCAGCTACAGTTCTGAGGTCTTGCTCCGAGTACTTTTCGCCCTCCTGCTGCTTATATTACATCTACGCCGGCTTCTGATCCTGACTTGGCTTTCTTAAGTGCCCAGATTGCCCAGCTTCAACATCTCTGGTCCACCTCTCAATCATCTTCCTCTGCCTCTGCTCTCACCTTTCTTCATTCAGGTTTGCTTGGGTCCTCTTCAGGTATTCCTTCTTCTGTTTGGTTTTTTGATTTTGGTGCCTCTCATCGTATGACTCCCCACCTTTCTTTACTCCAAAACTGGATTCCTCCTCCCGTTCCTTTTACTATTAATACTGCTAATGGGTCTGGTATGTCTGTCCTATTTATTGGGTCTGTTTTACCCTCTGCCTTGTTTGCTATTACTATTCTCTCTGTTCTTTATGTTCCTCAACTGTCTGTTAGCTTGCTTTCTATTAGTCAGCATGATGCTTCTGGTTTTGATGTTATTTTTTCTTCTTCTGTCTGTTGTGTGTAGGATTAGGTGTTCAAGAAGCAGATTGGGACCGGCCGTAGAGTTGGAGATCTCTATGTGGTGGAAAGCCTACATCTTCCTCTATCTACTTCCCCCGTTGCACTTTCATACTAGATTTTCAGTCGAGTTAGTTTTATTTATGGCATTCTCGTTTAGGTCATTTGTCTGTTGACCGCTTGTGGTCTTTAGCTCAGTTAGGATTGTTAGGTAAAATTTCTCCTAGTCAAATTAATGAGTGTCGAGGATGTAAACTTACTGAAATGACAACTTTACCTTTTAATAACAGTACTTCTATTTCTACTTCCCATTTGTCTCTTGTCTATACTGATGTCTGGGGCCCTTCTCATGTTCTCACTAAAGGAGGTTCTGCGCACTATGTATCATTTGTTGATGATTGTACCCGTTATACCTAGGTTTATCTTATGGCTTATAAATCTGACTTCTACTAGATATATTGTACCTTTCAGTCTATGATCGCTACACAGTTTGGGGCCACAATTAAAATACTCTAGTCTGACTTGGGTGGGGAATACTTTAAAACTGAATTCTGTGAGTATTTAGCAAAATTGGGCACCATTCACCAAACCTCCTGTACTGATACTCCTGCCCAAAATGGTCGTATCCTTGAGACAGCTTGATCACTCATTCTCTCTGCCTCTATTCCAACACCATTTTGGGGTAAGACAGTTCTTACCACTGCTTTCCTCCTTAATCGTATGTCGACTCCCCTACTCTCTGGTCAATCCCCTTATAAGGCTCTGTATTCCCAATCTCCTAATTATTCCCTCTTACATATCTTTGGGTCTGCTTGTTTTGTCCTCCTTCCTTGTAAGGATCGAACCAAACTCAGTGCCCGGTCTGTCTTGTGTGTCTTTTTAGGCTACAATCTTACTCAGAAAGGCTACCGTTGTTACGACCTTGTCTCTTGTCGCCTCTATGTCTCCCGTCATGTTGCCTTTCTCGAACGTCTGTCTTACTTTCAGCTTTCCCCTTTTACTGCTCTTGTTTCCAAAGAGGATTTGGTTCACATTGACCCATTTCCTTTTGAGGTCCCATCAGATGAGTATATTGCCACTGTTCCTCATGAGGTCATTCCTACTTCTCCGTCTATGTCACCTATGGCTGCTTCTTCTCCTTCGGCTGCTTCTTCTCCTCCGTTGTTAGCCTATTCTCGTCGCAAGGCTCCCCCACCACCAGTTGTCTCTACTCTTGTTGCTGCTCCTTTTTCTTCTGACGACTCTGATCCTGCTGCCCACCGCTATCCTCTTCATGAGCGTCGTCCTCCAAATAGGTTGGGTTGGTCTAATACATATTTTTCTGCTTTCTATCGTATTTTTTGGTCTGCTATTCACTCTTTTTCAGAACCTCAGTCTTACAAGGAGACCTATTAGGATTCTAATTGGGTTCAAGCTATGGAGGATGAGTTGTTTGCCTTACAGAAGACTAACACTTGGGAGTTAGTTCCTTTGTCTACTGGCAAGAATTTGGTTGGTTGCAAATGGGTCTATAAAGTCAAGACTCATTCTGATGGTTCTCTCGAGCGCTACAAAGCTCGCTTGGTTGCCAAGGGTTTCTCACAAGAGTATGGTATTGATTATGAGGAGACCTTTGCCCCTGCTGCCAAGATGACTACTGTCTGTACCTTGATTTCTGTTGCTGCTGTTCGACATTGGCCTTTCTATCAGATGGATGTTAAAAATGCTTTTCTTAACGGGTACCTCACTGAAGAGGTCTACATGCGTCCTCCCCCTGGTTTTCTCCACTCTTCTAGGAAGGTTTGTCGTCTTCAGCGTGCTCTGCATGGTTTGAAACAGTCTCCTCGTGCTTGGTATGATTGCTTTCAAACTACCGTTACCGAGCTTGGGTTCCATCCTTCTACTTCTGACTTTGCTTTGTTTCTCAAATATACCTCGGTTGGTTTTGTTGCTCTCCTACCTTATGTGGATGATATGATCATCACTGGTTCTGGCTCTTCTACTATCTCTGAGGTCAAGCAACATCTTCTGCACCTTCAAAATGAAGGATCTGGGTCCATTACGGTATTTTCTTGGTATTGAGGTTGCCTCTTCTCCAAAAGACTATTTTCTGTCTCAAGCCAAGTATGCTAATGAGGTTATTCACCATGCTAGTCTTACTAATACTAAGGTTTTTGATACACCTATTGAGCTTAATATGAAACTCAACTCTACTGATGGTGTCCCTCTGGATGATCCCACGGTTTATCGCGAGCTAGTGGGTTATGTAGTTTATTTGACTGTCACTCGCCTTGATCTTGCTTATCCTGTTCATGTGGTTAGTCAGTTCGTTTCTGCTCCTCGCTTTACTCATTGGGCTACTTTGGTTCG